TTGTCTCTTGATGAGTTTTGAATGCTGTACAAACACTTTCAGGAGTTCAAACCAGAGAAGAAACATACATATACGGGTGTAATCATAAGCAATTTTATTTACATTTTACATTTAATTTAATAAAATTAAAAATAAAAATATGTAAATTTTATTTACATTTTACATTTAATTTAATAAAATTTTACAACCATTTTAAACAGTAAACAAACTGTACAAACACCTTCAGGAGAACATAAAACACATCAATAGAAAAGCTCACAAGTAACAATACACAAAATAGAGTAAACATTAGCAGTATACATATACACTCTATAAAATGGGTTGTTTTGACCCAGCTGTTGGGTTGTTTTGACCCAACCGCTGGGTCAAAACAACCCAATCGCTGGGTCAAAACAACCCAATCGCTGGGTCAAAACAACCCAATCGCTGGGTCAAAACAACCCAATCGCTGGGTCAAAACAACCCAATCGCTGGGTCAAAACAACCCAATCGCTGGGTCAAAACAACCCAATCGCTGGGTCAAAACAACCCAATCGCTGGGTCAAAACAACCCAATCGCTGGGTCAAAACAACCCAATCGCTGGGTCAAAACAACCCAATCGCTGGGTCAAAACAACCCAATCGCTGGGTCAAAACAACCCAATCGCTGGGTCAAAACAACCCAATCGCTGGGTCAAAACAACCCAATCGCTGGGTCAAAACAACCCAATCGCTGGGTCAAAACAACCCAATCGCTGGGTCAAAACAACCCAATCGCTGGGTCAAAACAACCCAATCGCTGGGTCAAAACAACCCAATCGCTGGGTCAAAACAACCCAATCGCTGGGTCAAAACAACCCAATCGCTGGGTCAAAACAACCCAATCGCTGGGTCAAAACAACCCAATCGCTGGGTCAAAACAACCCAATCGCTGGGTCAAAACAACCCAATCGCTGGGTCAAAACAACCCAATCGCTGGGTCAAAACAACCCAATCGCTGGGTCAAAACAACCCAATCGCTGGGTCAAAACAACCCAATCGCTGGGTCAAAACAACCCAATCGCTGGGTCAAAACAACCCAATCGCTGGGTCAAAACAACCCAATCGCTGGGTCAAAACAACCCAATCGCTGGGTCAAAACAACCCAATCGCTGGGTCAAAACAACCCAATCGCTGGGTCAAAACAACCCAATCGCTGGGTCAAAACAACCCAATCGCTGGGTCAAAACAACCCAATCGCTGGGTCAAAACAACCCAATCGCTGGGTCAAAACAACCCAATCGCTGGGTCAAAACAACCCAATCGCTGGGTCAAAACAACCCAATCGCTGGGTCAAAACAACCCAATCGCTGGGTCAAAACAACCCAATCGCTGGGTCAAAACAACCCAATCGCTGGGTCAAAACAACCCAATCGCTGGGTCAAAACAACCCAATCGCTGGGTCAAAACAACCCAATCGCTGGGTCAAAACAACCCAATCGCTGGGTCAAAACAACCCAATCGCTGGGTCAAAACAACCCAATCGCTGGGTCAAAACAACCCAATCGCTGGGTCAAAACAACCCAATCGCTGGGTCAAAACAACCCAATCGCTGGGTCAAAACAACCCAATCGCTGGGTCAAAACAACCCAATCGCTGGGTCAAAACAACCCAATCGCTGGGTCAAAACAACCCAATCGCTGGGTCAAAACAACCCAATCGCTGGGTCAAAACAACCCAATCGCTGGGTCAAAACAACCCAATCGCTGGGTCAAAACAACCCAATCGCTGGGTCAAAACAACCCAATCGCTGGGTCAAAACAACCCAATCGCTGGGTCAAAACAACCCAATCGCTGGGTCAAAACAACCCAATCGCTGGGTCAAAACAACCCAATCGCTGGGTCAAAACAACCCAATCGCTGGGTCAAAACAACCCAATCGCTGGGTCAAAACAACCCAATCGCTGGGTCAAAACAACCCAATCGCTGGGTCAAAACAACCCAATCGCTGGGTCAAAACAACCCAATCGCTGGGTCAAAACAACCCAATCGCTGGGTCAAAACAACCCAATCGCTGGGTCAAAACAACCCAATCGCTGGGTCAAAACAACCCAATCGCTGGGTCAAAACAACCCAATCGCTGGGTCAAAACAACCCAATCGCTGGGTCAAAACAACCCAATCGCTGGGTCAAAACAACCCAATAGCTGGGTTTGTCCCTTTTTAACCCAGTGCTGGGTTATATTTGACCCAGCATTTTTTAGAGTGTATAAACAATAAAAAAACAACTAGTATATGGAATATTATTCCTCATTGTATTTTCTCACAGGTCGGAGGTCTTCATTTTATTTTGCTTTATAACTACAGTATTTCTAAACGTCTGTTAAAATGATCTAATTTTCACAAACAAATGCTTCTCTGCTGGACTTTAATCTATAAACATTATTTCTCTCCTAATAGATGTTTCATATGGAATAATAAACATATTTTATACAAATCTAAATCATTGTTTGTTTTTTTTATTGGTTTTCTAATGATATAGTTTTGGTGAGCCAACTTTTCAACCAAGAAGGTCTTCTGTTAACTTATTCTGAATTTGTGTCACTTTTGTGGTCTACAAACAAACGTTTTTTCATTTGTTTTGGAGTTTTCTTTATTCAACCAGATTTTGGTTAGATATCTGCTGGTTTGTTAGATAAACATCACTTACTTATTATTTATATTATTTGATTAATTTGGTTATTGGCAAATTTTAATATACATAAATGCAAGTATGTGGATTATAAACCATTATTTTTTATTTTTAAATCAGAAGTTAAACAATGCCTAAAATCTATTTATAATCTGATAAACAAGAAAGCTGTTAAGTGTATTAAAGCATTTCCATGTTTTTATTTTATTATTATTATTATTATTATTATTTTAACATTTCAATGTCATTTTATATCCTTCTTTCCTTGTCTTCACCCCCTGGCTAATGTAAAATGTTGAGTGTGAATATTTCAATAATAATAATATATATAAAAAAAATAATAAAAAGCTTTCAACACAATTTGATCGGAAAAATGTTCATAAAAATGCACAGCCGCTGTTATTTCATGGGCAAAGTTAATTTGAGCTAAATATTTAATTACGATATTGAAAAAAAATAAAATTGCTAACGCATTATAAAGTAATATAACTTCGTTTGAACTACATTCTGAAGCAGTCACGTGGTTTTCAGACGTACGACGCTTCAAACGTCATAGATCACGTGCTTTTGGCAAGACGAATCAAGCTCGATGCAAGTGTTGCCAAGTCCGCGGTTTTCCCGTAGAATTGGGATAGCCTACTTTAACACTATTACCGCGGGTTGTTTTTCATGTCCGCGGGCTGCGACCCCAATAACGTGATATTTATCCCCTAAAATGCTAATTTGACCAGGGGGACCCACCACAAAACGTGTATTTTAACCCCCCCGAACATGATTTTCCCGGAAAACCTGGCAACCCTGTATACAGTGCTCTGATGTGAAAAGTGTTGTTGTTGTTGTTTTTGATACAAGCTTCAGAGCTTCAATGTCCAGCATAACATCACTAGCCTACTGTGTTCTTGTTAGCAATGGTTACCTCCAAAGAAACACGTGCAGCCATCATGTCAAGAAGCGCAGCAAAGAAGCCACTTCTCTCCAAGAAAAACCTCAAGGACAGACTGGAATTCTGCAGGAAGTACAAGGATTGGAAAGCGGAAGACTGGTGCAAAGTTATTTTCTCTGATGAAGCTCCCTTCCAACTGTTTGGGGCATCTGGGAAATCGATGGTTCGGAGAAGAAAAGGTGAACGCTACCATGAGTCCTGCGTCGAGCCAACAGTGAAGCATCCTGAGACCATCCATGTGTGGGGTTGCTTTTCAACCAAAGGAGTGGGCGCTCTCATAACTCTGCCCCAAAACACTGCCAGGAATAAAGAATGGTATCAAAACGTCCTGCAAGAGCGACTTCTTCCAGCGATCCACGAGCAGTTTGGTGATGATCCGTGCATTCTCCAGCATGATGGAGCACCATGTCACAAAGCAAGAGCGACAAAGAAGTGGCTCGAAGATCATTGCATTGAAACTTTGGATCCGTGGCCAGGCAACTCCCCGGATCTCAGTCCCATAGAGAACCTGTGGTCAGTCCTCAGAAGGCGAGTGGACGAGCAGAAGCCCACAGATCGTGATCAACTCCGAGAACTAATAAGGCAAGAATGGATGGCCATCAGTCAGGATTTGACCCAGAAGCTGATATCCAGCATGCCAGAGCGAATCGCAGAGGTTATGAAGAACAAGGGTCAACTCTGTACATTTTTTTGCCAATAAAAGCCTTTAAAACTTATGATATGCTTATCATTGTTTTTCAGTATACCATAGAAACACGTGGAAAAATAATCTACAAATACTGAAGCAGCGGACTTTGCAAAACGCAAAATGATATATATATATATATTCAAAATAATTACAACAACTAAATAATACATTAAAATACAATAAATAAAATTATAACAATGATTAAAACAATTATTACAATTTAAACAGACAGAAACATTAATAAGAAGTAAGCAAATAAATAAATATTTCCTTACAACCTCATAAAAGAAAAAAAAAAATCCAGATGTAGTTTCATCTCGAGGTGTTGCATAAATTAAACTACAATAAAAAAAATAAAAAAAAACTAGAAATAGAGGGAGACATTAATAAGAATAGGTAAGCAAACTATGCCCCCCCCCTTTCCCTTTACACACTCCTGTACAGTAGGTGGCGATATGCAATAATTAAAAGTTGCAAAAGCTCAGAAAAAGAAGAAGATGTGCAATCCGCTGAGATGAGGCTCGAGATTATTCTGCAGGCGTGGCGTTACGCTCTTGCGTAGTTCTCTGCACGTCGCATGCTCTCGGCTGAGTCCTGTCCTCACGACTTCACACAGGTTTGTTCAATTGCACGACCTTCGTCCTGCGGTGAACGTCAAAGCCCGGGGCTCTCGCGTGAGTCTGTAGTGAGTGCGGCGGCGATGCGGCGCATTAACGTCGCGAGCGGGGCCGGAATCACTCGTTAATGCTACAACTGATGCATTTGCCGCATGTGTGAATGTGCTCCGACCGCATGCTAGCGTGATCAAACGCGCACGGTTAAACTGCATGTATCCTGCGCTCGTGCGACTCCTGTCTCACGAAGTATTGCAATATTGCATGAGTGGAAAGGGCTGATTGTGTGCTCATCTGTCTGCTCTGATAGTGGCCTAAACCTGCGCCATCGAGCTCCTCATCTCCTTCACACGCAGATCAGAGTTTGCATTGTGTTCTGCTATTTCGTTTGCATCCAGTTTACTCAGAGACTCGCATGCATCGTGTATGGTGTGCTGAAGGAGCAGGCCTGGCTGTGATGCATGGGTGGGATGCAAGTAGTCCTCTGTCCGCCAGCATCTGGCCATTTTGCGATGATCAGCATCGGCTGGTCACAGTATAATGTGGGTTTTCCACATGCACAGATACTCGAAAGGCAGGCGGGATGTCATGAAAACGCAGTATGTTCCTCACTAAGTGCTGAAGAGGGTCAGTGGGTTTATATGAGGTTGATTGTGATTTGCTGTGTGCTGACTGTTCACTTGACCTCTGGTTGACCTTCACCTCACTCTCTCTGTGTTTCAGACAATGGCTGTTCCTCCAACATATGTAGACCTGGGCAAGTCCGCCAGGGACATCTTCACTAAAGGATATGGTATGAGTTCATCTGGTTTTATATTAGAGATGCATACACGCACAATGCACACGCCGCACATAGTCGGATTAGAGTTACTTTTTTTACTGATTACATATTATTCATAATTTATCGATTCTCCCTAATTACATAAAATGTGTAATGTAATGGATTACAACACTGACTACAATTTGTGTCATGTAATCTGGAATCAGTAATGGATTACGATATGTTAGTGTCTGCCCGTTATAAGCCATGATCCTATAAACATTGATCTGAAGCAAAAAAGCATCTAAATATCAAAGACAAGAGTGTGACCAGCTTTAGTGTGAGGGGAAAGAACTACATTCCCATGAAGCATTGTGCACGACGTACTCAAAATATCAGTAGAGAAATGATGCATATAGTCTCTGTGCGAGTGCATGGAGACTCGATGACTTCATTCACAGTGCTTTGTGTCAGTGGGCGGAGCTAAAGAGTTATTTTGGCATGATTTACGTATTTCGCTTCTCTGATTGGTGAGAAGAATCATGGGTAATGTTGTTTTTTTCCCACCAGGAATTCCGCTGGCACACGCTTGAGGTATTCAACCAATCACGACGCACTAGCTCACTGGCCAATCAGAGCACACCTCGCTTTTCAGACCGATGAGCTTTGTAAAAATCGACACGTTTCATTTCATTACACCAAATGCACAACATAATGTTCTTTTTAGCAACATCACATGACCGCTTTAAATCAATGCGATAAACGAGTTAGCTCAAAAGTAATCAAAAAGTAGTCTGATTATATTACATAAAATGTGTAATGTAATGGATTACAACACTGACTACAATTTGTGTCATGTAATCTGGAATCAGTAATGGATTACGATATGTTAGTGTCTGCCCGTTATAAGCCATGATCCTATAAACATTGATCTGAAGCAAAAAAAGCATCTAAATATCAGACAAAAAGACAAGAGTGTGACCAGCTTTAGTGTGAGGGGAAAGAACTACATTCCCATGAAGCATTGTGCACGACGTACTCAAAATATCAGTAGAGAAATGATGCATGGAGACTCGCTGACTTCATTCACAGTGCTTTGTGTCAGTGGGCGGAGCTAAAGAGTTATTTTGGCATGATTTACGTATTTCGCTTCTCTGATTGGTGAGAAGAATCATGGGTAATGTTGTTTTTTTCCCACCAGGAATTCCGCTGATGAACACGATTATTTAGAAAATAAACTGAAATCATCAGTTCTGATTGGCATACGCTTGTCGAACCGTCGATTAACAACATTGTAGCTCACGGTAGGTCTGTTTTAATGGTAAATTATAAGTTAACCTTAAATGAATTCCCCTGTGGAGAAAATGAATGGGATTTTTTTTTCTTTGGGAAGCCGACTTTTGCGCTCTATTAAAACTCCTCGCAGCAGACAGGGAAAAACTATTTCACACTAAAATAAAATATTATGAAATGATTTGCCGTTGGCTGTGTGAAACTGCGGATCGGTTTCTGCCATCAGTGATGTGCAATGTGTCATTTGCAGGTTTTGGTCTGATCAAGTTGGACTTGAAAACGAGGTCAGAGAATGGATTGGTAAGTAGCCAGTGGATTTCAGTCCAAACTTGATGAAATATTGATGTGATTTCTGTCCAGATGTCATTGAAATCATACAGTAGAAACACTACTGATGTCACGTTTTGAAAAGCCAGAATGTTTCATGTTTGCTCTTGATTTGTATAGATAAAATGTCTCAAGGCTGTAAAATACTGTACAGGGAAGCCTGTCATTTGGTACATTACTGTAATATTTAAGGTTAAAATTAACAACAGAGCCAAAATTTACTTGCTTTTTTTCCCGATAGAATAATCAACACTCAAAAAGATATATAAAAATGTTTTAATTGCACATAAGGAAGGTTGTATATTTAGTTACTGTATGTTTCTACTCCAATTTGTTGTTGAAATAATAGTAAATTTAATTAGTGGCTGTAATAGCTTGTTTTCATGAGAGATTTATTCAGACTTGCATATAAGCATAAATACAAAATAGATAAAATATTACTAACAGGTTGATTAAAAATAAAATGTATATGTATTATAGTGTTATATCAGTGTTATTTTTGAGATCCTATTATATAATATTTTTAATTAGTGTTTATTTTCTCTTTTAATTGTAATTTTAGTTAAAGTTGTTTTTATTTATTTTTTAATGTCTATATAATTTTTATTACTTATTATTTCAGTTTTAGCTATTTTAGTACATCAAGGTAAATGTACTAAATGTTGCTTTGGCAACTTGCTGAAATTAAACATTTTTAAGTTTCTTTCATATTTTTTATTTCAGTTAAAGTTTATTTTAAGTAGCTTTTCTTAATGGTTTTAGTTTTTGTTAACTATAATAACCCCGGTGCATATATTTAGCAAAATGCATCTTTCTAGAGCTATTATTTTCTTGAAAAATAGACAGAATTTGAAAGCGTTGTTTCATATCAAAAGTAGTGGTCGACCGATATTGGTTTTTTGACAGCCGATGCCGATATCTTGGAAAGCAGGGTGGCCGATATAATTGTATTTATTTTAATTAATATTTAAGAAATTTGAAAGCATTTGAAAATGGATTAAAACATAAATTTGTAAAATAAACATACTTATACTTTAGATGACAAAGTATTTTTTACAAATTAAAAAGGAAGTAAACAACTGAGCACTCAGTAGGCTATTCTGGGAAGTTTGTGTGCATTGGGAATCATATTTTTTCCAAATAAAGCCAATGTAACACTCATTTTACATACAGCACACAGTGAAAATGTCATGAACATGACAGTGGGCAAATGCATAAAGCGCAGCATAATTTGAAATCACGAATTTAATGTTTAAAGCATTCATTTTGCACGGACCGAAAGTCACGCAGAGAGCATGCGATCATGCAGGATACAAATGCACACTTCACAAGATCTCACAGCTGGATTTGACTAAGTTTACAAGGTTTTTTTTTGACAGCCGATGCCGATATCTTGGAAAGCAGGGTGGCCGATATAATTGTATTTATTTTAATTAATATTTAAGAAATTTGAAAGCATTTGAAAATGGATTAAAACATAAATTTGTAAAATAAACATACTTATACTTTAGATGACGAAGTATTTTTTACAAATTAAAAGAAGTAAACAACTGAGCACTCAGTAGGCTATTCTGGGAAGTTTGTGTGCATTTTGAATCATATTTTTTCCAAATAAAGCCAATGTAACACTCATTTTACATACAGCACACAGTGAAAATGTCATGAACATGACAGTGGGCAAATGCATAAAGCGCAGCATAATTTGAAATCACGAATTTAATGTTTAAAGCATTCATTTTGCACGGACCGAAAGTCACGCAGAGAGCATGCGATCATGCAGGATACAAATGCACACTTCACAAGATCTCACAGCTGGATTTGACTAAGTTTACAAGGTTTTTGATGTTTATTAGACATTCAAAGATTTGTTTAAATTATATAAATGCGTATTTGCTGAATGCTGACAGCAAACAAGAAAGTATTATAATGTTTGCCTTTCTATTACTAACAATATAAAAGCAATCGTTATAATACTTTTTGTATACATTTTAATTCCTTTGTTTAACAGTTCTGGCTGATTATTAGACAGACTTCTATCCATATTAGACAGAACTGTTAACGACGACGGCGAACAAGAGGGAGAATGTGAGCGGTGTGCGCTCAGGCGCTGCTGCTCTCAGCGCCGTCAAAATAAAAGTCCGGCATGCCTTCATAATAAAAGATGTGCCTCAAATGGAAAAACGTATCTGCCGATATTTGAAAAATGCCAAATATCGGCCGATATATCGGTCAGCCACTATTCAAAAGTGATGCAACACAAAGCTCATGGCGATTATTGGATGGATGGCAGGTGCTACAAATAATGTTAGTGAAGTTCTGTTCATCAACGGAAAACAGTATAGATTAAAAGATCGATCTTGGAATTTTAGAATCCATATAGTTGCATCAAAATGAAGATGGATTAATTGATATTGTCAGCCCAGCCTTATCAGAGATAATAACCCAAAACTACATGATCGCTACAATGGACAGAATGAATCTGTGGCCCTCAGAAGCAGATAGTGACCATCAGATGAACATGGAAGTGCACCACGTTTTTTCATACTTGTTTGCACTAATTGACCCATGGATGTTTATCTTGGAAAGGCGTGTGTGTGCGGATGTCCTCGTCTAACTGTAGCTCTGCAAATGCTGTAATCCATATGCAGACTGAAATATGACAAAATGATTAGAGTTGTGTAATTTTGAGTTATAGACAAGTGTCAACTAAATTGAATAGTACAATGCATTTTATATGTGACCCTGTCTGTAAAATCCAGACTAAAGTCTCAATCTAATTATGAGTTCAGATAACAAGCATCAAAGTTTGATTTCAACCATTAATTTCACTATGATTTCAATCTTTGACATGGCCTTACTCAGTCAATATTAAAGATATAAAGGTTATATTTTCACAGAATGTTCTACATCGTTATGAAGTATGTAGAAAAAAGTAAATCACAAAAGAATGACTTTAGCTGGGTTTTCACAGGCACTATATAAAACATATATAGTTTTAAAGGAACACTAAATTAGATTTTTTTTAAAAACTTGAATCCTGGACATTTGATATTTAACAAAACTGAAAATTATGGCAATTTTATTTACATGTATTTTCAAATAGCAGATTTTTTTGTTCTGAATTCTTACAGTGTGTTCACACAAAGCGCGAATTTAATTATTTGCGCAAGTAGATTACATACAAAGACGCGAATAGAGGTGAATTCGCGACGCGTTTGCCACGAACGTGAGATATTCGCCTCAATCGCGTCTTTCGTGCAAGTTCAAAAAGTCCAATCAGCGAAGAGCTTATAGGCACGTCTGGTTGAATCAGACAATAGAAGAGAGCATTATTGCAGCCGTCTGTTATTATATAGGTCTGGAGCATGGAAAACAATTAAAATCAGTTGTAGTGGTAGTTGTATTTTATTAGCATGGCTACAGAGATGCTGCTATCAATAATAAAAATAATAGTAATATCAATGTATATATACAGTAGTCAAATTTAATGCGCACATTAATACAGGATCCTAACGTTATTCATCCTCCTCTGGATGGTTCTGTGAACCCAGACACATCGGCGTTTGGCTTTCCATTGTATTTGGGACTTTTTGACAATAGGTACAAAAGAGCGATTGTAGTCATCTCCAGCATGGTTGATCGCACTGTTTTTATTCGCGCGAGTGACACGAAAAACATCTCGTGAGTAATCTAGAGCGAGTGGCGCGATGCGCATATTCGCTTCGCGTCTGGTGTGAACGCACCATTAGAGTGCAGATATCCAGTTTATAACCGTAAGGCTAAAGGAACACCAAATTCAGTATTCATTCTAAAATGTAAAATTCAAAATACAGAAATTCGGATTGTACAGAAAGTGGGTCAGAGGTCAAGCTTCTGGGTTAAACAGGAAAGAGGGTCTTAGAGGAGTTGAACGTTGCATTTTCGCTCATTTGAGTTTCAGTAATTCTCAGCATGTGACGCATCTGTTCTCCTGGTGCTGTAGGAGTTCAAGAGCTCCGGATCGGCCAACACCGAGACCAGCAAGGTAGCAGGAACACTGGAGACCAAGTACAAGTGGGCAGAACACGGCCTGACCTTCACTGAGAAGTGGAACACTGACAACACTCTGGGCACGGAGATCACTCTGGAGGACCAGGTACCAGACCCGGAAAGCTGAGCTCCACTTGATTGGATATGAATTACATTCTTGTCATTTAACACGAGTGCTGCTTTCTTCTCCTCAGCTGGCTAAAGGACTGAAGTTGACGTTTGATTCCTCCTTTTCTCCGAACACTGGGTATGTGACTTGTTCACTATGTACAGCACAATTAGTGTCGCTGTAGTGATGTTTGGCATTTCCAGTATAGATGTAATATATAAAGGGAAGGATGCATTCGTTTTTGGTTGTGAGTCTAGTCTAGAACTGCACAGTTTGGAGAATTGCAGGTTATTATTATTTTAATATAATTTATTTTCTCTGTCCTAAAAAAGACAAATTCACAATTTACAAAAAAAAATCACAAATTGTGATTTAAAATGCAATAAAATTTGCAGGCATTCACAAATTTTGTGATATGCTTTATCTCAACTGGTTTGCTCATGGGACCCACATTTTCCCATGGTCATCAAGCCGAGACCCACTTTTTTGTTAAATAAATTTGCTTTTTAATTAGGTTAGTATGAACCAACACAGACATTTAAATGTATACAAAATGAAAATTTCGTCTGAAAGAAGAAAGTCAAATACACCTAGGGTTAGCAAATCATGGGGTCATTTTCATTTTTGGGTGAACTATCCCTTTAAAGCTTCTCTTGCATTGATAAGCACCTCTCATTAGAAGTTTGTGAAGACGGTTGGTGTGTGTTTCCAAACGCATGTTAAAACGACTCATGTTCATGTGGACGCACCGGGGATCATGAGCTGCTGACGTGTAAATGAACACAGTGCTGCGCTCCACTCGGAAACATGCATATATTTATTGAATTAAATCTGTCTAGTGATTTAATAATCGCGCTAAGCCTTATTGCATTTTCAGTTTTGATTAGTTGTGCAGCCCTAGTTAAACAAGCACATGAGAATATCAGGCGATGACTTGCGTTCAGTATTGGGGTTTTTCACACAAACTCCGCACAGTTTCCTCTGACGTTTCACTGGCTTCTCTCATGACTTCCCATAGAAAGAAGAGCGGGAAGATCAAGAGCGGCTACCAGCGCGAGCACATCAATCTGGGCTGTGATGTGGACTATGACATCAATGGCACCGCGGTGCACGGAGCCGTGGTCGTGGGCTTCGAGGGCTGGCTGGCCGGGTACCAGATGACTTTCGAGGCTGGGAGGAACCGGGTCACCCAGAGCAACTTCGCTGTGGGCTACAAGACCGACGAGTTCCAGCTCCACACAAACGTGTATGTACCAAACGCAAAATCATCAGACCTACGCTAGCGAGTCTGTTGTCTGTCTCAAGGTTGGAAAGCTGGGTTATTTATATATACGTTTATTCCCCGGCGATTGGATTTGTCAAGGGCTTTGCAGCAGGAAGCAGCATGCTGATGTCTGGTGCTTGTTTATATCGTTGAAGCTCAAATCTTAAGGAGTTGTGTGCAGTTGTGTTTAGGGCTGCATATAACAAAGACACACTGCAATCTTCTTAATAAAAATATGCAGTCAAAAATTTAGTTTTTTTTTACATTTATATTCTTGCATTAAAAAACGGCAAGACACTGAATAAAACGTTTATTTTTATTTTTTTATAAAATAGTGTTTCCTTGTAATAAATAAAAATGTTTAAAAAAATGCTGCAATTTATTTTATAACGTCAAAAAATTATTTTTATTTAAACCTTCCATAAATTAAGACTTTAAAAAGGTCTCAAGTTGGAACAGAAATTCTTAAAATTCATAGTCATGGCATTAAAGTATGCATGCTTTCTCAGTGGTTTATTTTAAATTTGTATTTTTTGCAATACAAATATCTAAACATCTTGAAAGACGTCTCCAAGACCCTCTTTCCTGTTTAACCCTGAAGCTTGACCTCTGAACCACTTACTGTACAATGTGATTGAATTCCATTTTAGAATTTAGAATTTGGTGTTCCAAATTTCTTCATCTTGAAAACTCGAAGCTTATTGTTAAAAACGGAATGCTTGGAGTCTAAGAATTCAGAACAAAAAAATCTGCTATTTGAACATTCGTATCTATAAAATTGCCATAAAACATCCTACTTTTATTTGAGATGCAAACTGAAGATATAAAGTCTTGCTTTCTGAGACTCTAAACAAAATTAAGTGAATTTATGCTTAAAACAAGAACAAATATCTGTCCGTGAGGAATGAAAACATTCATAAAGCCTGCAGAAACCCTGTGTGTTTTCCCTTTTGTGGATCTCAGTTGATTGAAACGTGTTTCGAGTTGAAATATCCTTTGGAATAGAAGTATAGTCAATGTTGTTTTGCATTCTTTTATGTGATTTAGTGAAATTGATTGTTGAAAACAAATGATCATCTAGTTGATGAAACAGTGTACTTTTTGCATTGCAGTGCATTTTATTAATTAAAAGATGTGTGCGATGTGTTTTCAAATCGCAGGAATGATGGAACAGAGTTCGGTGGCTCCATTTACCAGAAAGTGAACGATAATCTGGAGACGGCGGTCAACCTGGCCTGGACCGCCGGCAACAGCAACACCCGCTTTGGCATCGCTGCCAAGTATCAGATCGATGCCGATGCTTCCTTCTCAGTAAGCTATCATTGCCGCTTTTAGTTTTTGACCATGCTGCTTTCACTGATCAAGGCAGTCATTTCTCCTGGCATAATGATGTAACCCAGCACTAAAGGCCTCGTTGCACCAAACCTTAACTTTTGTGCACGTGAAAGAAACAACAAGAGTGTTAATGAATAGCACACATTCACAACGTGATGTAGCCAAGCAGAATGCAATGAGAATTTAATCTGAAATTCAAAATGTGAGTGCAATAAGTCTGGTAACACTTTCCATGAAGCCTGTATTTATAATGCATTATAAGGGTGTTGTTAATGCATTATAATGCATGCATGATGCCTTATAAACAGCCTGTTGTATCATCTGATAAATGAACATAACAGTTACAATGCATTATAATACTAACCTATTTGTGGTTATAACTTTTACGAGTATGATGCATTGTAACACCAGATGAAGAAGCCTGCATTTATAATGCACCATAAGAGTATTCTTAATGCATGCTAATAAAAAAACATACAACATGTTGTATAATCTCATGAATAATCATAACAACAGTAATACGTGTAATGCACATGTAAACGGAATCGCATTCAGATTGCAACTTTTAGGGGTCATGTAAGCAGAACTTTCCGAATCTGAAATCGGATTGGATTCATTCCAATTAGCAAATGAATGCACGTAAACATACCTAGTGTACACACCATAGCCTAAAAATGACGAGTTTGGATGAGATGTTGTTGTGAAGCATGCTCCGCTAGGAAGAGCCTGGTCTTCATGATGTTCAGCTGGTTATGAAAAATAAGCCCATGCTTTCTGAAAGGGCTGAAATGTAGTGCTGTTATGTTTGTCGTCAGTGACTTTTGCAGTCAAGCATGTTTCGTCTGTCTTGCAGGCCAAAGTGAATAATTCTAGCCTCGTCGGCCTGGGATATACTCAAACCTTGAAGCCTGGTGAGTATGTGAATCAGGTGCACAGAGTTTATTAAACCTGTTTAAATGCATATGCAACCGTTTAAAGCTCCACTCCTGCTCCTGGACGGTCACTATCCTGTAGAGTTTAGCTTCAGTACTAATTGAACCCAGCTGAAGCAACTAATCACAGTCGCAAGGATTGCTAGGAACTTCAGGGAAAGTGTGTTTGGGCGGGTTGAGGCTACGTCCACATTAATCCAGATACATTTGGCCTTTGGTCCACACTAGCTACGTTTTCATGACCCTGTTTTTATGCACATTTTGAAGTATCGCTTCAGAAACGCCAGATTTTGAAGAAAAAAAAGTTGAGTTGGTTTTTAAAAGAGTTAATGCGGAAAAATGGGAGATGGAAATGCATTTGCCCTATAAATTCCTCTATGCGCATTAAAAACGTCTGTGCAATGAAACCAGCAGACGGATCTCATTGCACGGCATCTCAAATGTTGTTTTGGTCGTTCTGCAGTGCCTGAGCTAAAGCCTGTCGTCAAAGTATTTCTGTATAATCGCCTCCCACAACTGTCTTAACACGATTGCGTTCCCAAACAGCAGCATCCACCTCCGAAAGCGATGAGTGCATTTATTGTGCTTCATCTGCTCGCTTTTCCCAGTGGCTTCTCCTACTTTTCATAGCGATATTTAGTGGCAGTTTATCAGGAAGTGACGATTTAGTTCTCTTTGACTCGTTGGATGGAAACAGTGCTTATTCGCAAATGTTTCACGCGATATTCCAATTTTGCGCATAAGTTAAATTCGCAACTTTGGATGGAAACATAGCTATTGAGAGTCTTTGAAGATGCTTTCTCAAGTGGATACAGTTGAATAGTCTGTTTTCATGTTGTAGTTTTGAACGTGAAAACAGAGGCATTCAAAATGATGATGCATGTTGAGTCATGTGACACACGGTGTAATCCATAGATATCTACGCTTGTACTAGCATTGTTGTGCCTGATGTTCACTTTCATAGTGCTGCTAAAGATAAATGTTACAATTGCATATTACATTCCTGCAAAGATGGCAGAATACTTGCTTGTGATTGCTATCATGCAGCAAAAGATGACAGCTGCTTTTTAGACCATACATGATTAAAAACAAATTTTTTTTTAAGTGTCTTCTGCTCACCAAGACTGCATTAATTTGATCAAAAATACAGTAAAACAGTTGTTTTATTATTTTCATGTACATTAGTGGCCAAAAGTTGGGAATAATTCAATTTATTTTTTTAATCCATATTCTCGGTTTCCAGAAAAATATGCAGCTCAACATTTAAAAGAATCAGAAATGTTTCTTGAGCAGCAAATCATCATCTTAGAATGATTCTGAAGATCATGCGACACTGAAGAAAATTCAGCTTTGATCATAGAAATAAATTATATCTTAAAGTACCATAAAATAGAAAACCATTATCTTAAATTGCAATAATATTTCACAATATTATAGTTTTTTTTCTGTATTTTTAATCAAATAAATGCAGCCTCGATGAGCAGAAGAGACTTCTTTAAAAAAACGTTTAAAATCTTACTGATCCCAGACTATGGCAGTGTATATGCCGTTCTGTTGTTTTCAGTCAGCTCTCTTGGATGTGATCGTTCCTTGTCTAACTTTTCCCCTCTTCTCTCGGTTCAGGTATTAAGCTGACCCTTTCTGCTCTTCTGGATGGGAAGAACATTAACGCAGGTGGCCACAAACTGGGTTTGGGCCTGGAGTTCGAGGCATAGGAAGCTGAAGAGTGCAATAATCCTGGCTTGATTTATTTATTTATTTTTGAATACCTACCCTCACCTTGTTCCTCTTAGATGCCCTGGCCAAGGACACGCACTATACTCTTGTCAAACAATGCATTAGTGATGGCTCACTTCTTCAGAGAGTGCAGCAAATGCATATTTACTAGGTCACACAGAACGAAAGAAGAGCATTTAGAAATGGCTCGAAAAATGTATTTTCAATACACTCAACATTATTTATTACAGTGTTGATCATGACAGAATAGTTTAATTTTTGGGAAGCGTCTAGAAATGCAGACGTTTGCATCAGACAACACTAATATTAGGTCACAACATTCCTGATCTACGCTTTTCACCCCGACGAAGCTTGAACGAAGGGACCCGTGTGTAACAGATGACACTCAGAGGGCTGCTGTAGGAGCCCTTCACGTCTTTAGTTGTAGACACCAGACTTTTGGGTGCGTTTCGTGTTTTTGTCTCGTCTGTGTGAGTGAAACCACATGTGTATCTCGTCCATTATGGTTTCTCCGCTGCATACTGCCTGTACCTTTGATGGCAAAACTCTTTCAGCTCTCCCTGAACTAAAGGAGGTTGGAAACCAGCTTCTGACGTGTATTGGGGAGAGCAGAAAAGATCTGAATGAGTGGATGCAGTCTTCCGTTTTTAAATGTAGGATTAGAATACTGTGGGTTTGGCAGTATGGATACTTTCATTGAATAAAACATTTCAACTCGGACCACACTACTCAACTGTGCAGTTTGGTGTCTTACTATGAAAATCAGTCTTTTTGCATATAATAACTAATAGTAGTTTTTTCCTTAAATGTGCATTTGTAACTTTTATAAACAGAAGTTGAGTTAGGTACTCGCTTACAGTGTGCCATTGTCTGCTTTTTTTGTCAATGTAAGATGCATACACATTTATTCAAGGTGTTCGGACAATATGCTTTGAGCATACTTTTAAAGAAATATACTCTTTTTACAAAATTAGTTTTTATTTAATATATATATATAATTGTGATGAGCACAAAAAGCTTTATAAATCAAATTAATATCCATTGTATTAATACTATTGATGAAACCACAAGGCTGGCATGGAGCTATGTGTAATTACAACATTAATGGTAACTTTTTTTTTTTAATGCTTTAACTCCTTTAGTGCTTTTTGGAAAAAAAGTTAAAAAAAAATTTTTTTTTTTAGTAAACGCACAGCTGATATTCGTCAAATTTTGGTTTTTTTTTTTTTTTTTTTTGTCAATGTAAGATGCATACACATTTATTCAAGGTGTTTGGACAATATGCTTTGAGCATACTTTTAAAGAAATATCCTCTGTTTACAATTTTTTTTAAATATATATATATAAAATTGTGATGAGCACAAAAAGCTTTATAAATCAAATTAATACCTATTGTATTAATACTATTGATGAAACCACAAGGCTGGCATGGAGCTGGCATCTTTTTAATGCTTTAACTCCTTTAGTGCTTTTTTTTTTTTTTAGTAGAATAGTAGTAAACGCACAGCTGATGTTCGTAAAATTTTGAGTGATGAAAAGCAATATTTCTGAAAAAAATCAAGTATTTATAGATTCTCTAGATAGTAGTGAATTAGTGAGTAAATGATCTTGGACCTTGCCAAATGAAGGTATCTGAATAGAAAGGATTGCTGCATACTATCGGTCCTAAATAGTAATCGAAAATAGAATTAGTGTGTCCCAAATCGTAGTATGTTGAAATTAGTATGCCAAAGTTTCCCGGATGGTCTACTACTAAAGATTACAATTCGAAGTGCAGATCGATGCACACTCTTAACAGCTAATATTGCTCACAACACTGCGCGCTGGACGAGGATTCGATTAGAACTACAAACACGCGTTAAAAAACTACAAACATGGCGGATATGCGAGCCCGACGGACAGGGGTTTGAGTGATAAATAATATCTAACCTGAAGAAAAAATATTTATGTAATGTTATCAGCGTTATATTTCATCTGCAGCAACCTTGTAAACTTTTATAAAGATACGTTTGGACATTACATTTTATTTAGCAACTTTTCAGACTACCCGAGCAACTTTTTCTTCCAAAAGCACCTAGCAACAAATTTAGCTATTTTAAAATTTTATTTGGCTACTTTTAGCAACTTTTGATAAGTGACTCGAACAATAAAATGCACACATTTTCCGTCTAAATTTCACAAAAAGAGGAAACCAAAGATGCCTAGCAGTACACGCATCACGCGAATTAAATTATTGCTGTTTGCAATTGTTCAATTTGATAATAATAATAATTTAATAGTTGTTCATTTATGATACACCTTGTTGTACCTGTGATTGTTGATCAGTTAGTACACTGTAAGAAAAATATCCTAATTTTCCAGGACATTATCCGTTGTAAACCCTGTAACCCGAAACACAAAATACAATGCGTAATTTAAAATGCCGGTAAAAACCTGTGAATTATTTTCTTTTCTTAGAGTGTAGCATACTGACTACTAATACACTGCTTAAAACTAATTGTTCAGAATGTGTAGTTTTACTAGTTCACTAGCTAATAAAAAAACTTGTAATCCTTCAAAAATGTGTAAGTGCTTGTTCAATAATTCAATGTTGCATATAAAAAGTTATTTATATTTTAACATTATATTATGCATTTATATTATTTTACGAACAAATCTATAATATATTTTTTTACTGAGATTTGATGTAGTGACACAATTTTTGCATCGTGATTACGTAATGACGTCATCACGCAATGACATCACAACGTCATTTAGCAACTTTTAGCAACAAATCGACCTTCCGTTAGCAACTTCCCCTGAAAATTAGTTGGCAACACTGGGTCAGAGCCGTTGAGCTCGGTAAAGCCGCATTTGACAGCAACAGTCTAATAGATTACCCCCTAGATTCAATATGAAACTCTAGTACAGGGTTCCTCAAGTCTTGCCCTGGAGGGCCAATGCGCTGCAGAGTTTAGCTCCAACCCTGATTAAACTCACCTACCTGTGATTTTCTAATGATCCTGAAGACATCAATTAGCTTGCTCAGGTGTGTTTGGGTTAGAGCTAAATTCTGCAGGAAAGTGGATTTCATGGGCCAGATTTGAGGATCCCTGCTCTAGTAAAAGAAAATAGTGATCATAATTGTGCTGAGGCTGTGTAGTTTTAAAAGTGTTTAATATATGCCGACTCACGCATATGATCTGCTCCGTGCGATTGCGTCTCTGGACCGGAGCAAGTCCGGATCAGACTGTGTGCGCTGCCGCGGTTCGCGTGACACAACGTGAAACCAGACCTCATTTGCACCAATCGAAAGCATATTTACACTATCTGAATCGTTCCCTATCACCTACATTGTACACTAGTGATGTCCGGTTCGCAAACAAATCGTTCGATTTAACCGGTGAACCGGTTGAACCAGTTCACCAAATCGGGCTGAATCGTTTGAAACGGTTGACGTCTCCAGTAAGCATTAATCCACAAATTACTTAAGTTATTCACTTTTTAACATGGCTGACACTCCCTCTGAGTCTAAATAAACCAATATTCCAGAGTAATTAATTTACTCAAACAGTACACTGACTGAATTGCTGTGAAGAGAGAACTGAAGATGAACACGAGCAGAGCAGCGTGTGTGCAGCGAGCTGGGTAACGAAGGTACACGGTCACTGTTGGAGCGGTTCTCGTTCCCGAGTCAAGAACCGGTTGCATCGGTTTTCGGATCCCCAGTACACTGAATCGTTTCTTTCAGACGCGTCCAATTGAGAACCAATAAGCTGATGATATTGCGCATGCGTGTAATTTTTCAAGAGGACGAAAAGCATGTTATAAGTGCGATAATATAAATATATTTTATTTTAGTTTTTTTCTTTAAAAGATGAATGTATCTAATCTGTGTAGTTTGTTCAGTTGAAGATTATGTTAGGATATAGGCCAAAGGGGTTTGTCAAGGAAGTTGGATAATAATTAAGACTCTAAAAACCTGTGAATTCTTTTCTTAGAGTGTAGCATACTGACTACTAATACACTGCTTAAAACTAATTGTTCAGAATGTGTAGTTTTACTAGTTCACTAGCTAATAAAAAAACTTGTAATCCTTCAAAAATGTGTAAGTGCTTGTTCAATAATTCAATGTTGCATATAAAAAGTTATTTATATTTTAACATTATATTATGCATTTATATTATTTTACGAACAAATCTATAATATATTTTTTTACTGAGATTTGATGTAGTGACACAATTTTTGCATCGTGATTACGTAATGACGTCATCACGCAATGACATCACAACGTCATTTAGCAACTTTTAGCAACAAATCGACCTTCCGTTAGCAACTTCTACGGTGGCCGAGAAGTGCAAAGCAAATCACAATTCTGAAAACAAAATAAGAAATTACAAACGCAAATGCACGTCTAAAAAACAAAATAACAATTCAGAAAACACAACGACAAATCAGACAAACCGGAAGAGGTAGGTATAGTTTGAGACAGCGCCATTGGTTTGGGATTACTCACCGCTGATTGGACGAGACATCTGTCAATCAACATATACAGAGAAGAACCAGCCGAAGTGTTTTCTGACTTGTTATAATGTTTTCTGAATTGTTGTTGTGTTTTCTGAATTGTTATTTAGTTTTTTAGACTTGCATTTGCAATTTGTTATTTTGTTTTCAGAATTGTGATTTGTTTTGCACTTCTCGGTCACCGTATACTTCCTCTGAAAGCTAGTCGGCAACAGTGGCACGGCGCATGCGCACTGACGATGACAGCGCTGAAGATGGCGGTGATGCGGAAGACGGGATTCGGCGACTACGCAACATTAATATTCGCAGTTTTACTGTCACTGCAGATCGTTTCTGTGAGCTGCGCATCGGTACCGGCAGGTTAGTGGAGGATGTCCCTCTAAACATCAACAGGATGTCATTTATTATGTCAGGATGCCATTTATTTACCGAAAAGAGCCCGTGTTCCGTGTGAATGAACCCCACGTACTCTTCAAACGTCTTTCTCGTCAAATGTTTGTGTCTAGGAACCGATAAATGTCACGTTTACAAAATATTATATAAATATTAACCCGCACAAGCCTTCTAAGTGTTGATTGTAATACCGGAAGTGTCGTGTTTTTGTGTGTGACGTGGTCAGTTTCGCAGCTGTCACGCTTCCGTAAACACCAGAGTTATGAAACCTACCATACGAGTTTACACAAATCTGTTTATATCTTTTAATTCGGACAGAATTGCAGGCTTGCATAAATGTACGCTGTCTCTCCTGACAAATTAGGTTTTTAAAAAATTCCATATTAGTCGTAGTGTTTGATATTGCAGCACTGGAAACACATGTAACATGAGATCAAATGAAAATCTGGTTTTGGTTTCAGTGACTACAGATCATCTTGCCTCGTGTTGAGGGCGGTAATAGTTTATTATGCCGTTTATAAACACTACACCTAAAATTATGACATAATATTCATCCAATCACTTGTGTTACTAATGAATCATCCCCGTTCCACTCGAAGGAATCTATAATGCATGCTTTAAAGGGGTCATATGATGCTGTTTTAAAGATCATTATTTTGTGTATTTGGTGTAACAGAATATGTTGACGTGCTTTAATGTTCAAAAAACACATTATTTTTCAAATAAGATATGTGGGGGCGTGTGAGAACGAGCCGTTTTAGGGGGGCGTGGCAGAGTCTTAACTTTGATAAAGAATATCTCTTTGGTTTAGACCCCAAACTGTGGCTTTTATTCATTCGCAGGAAATAAATGTACAGAGCGTAGTAACTGATTGCATCTAATCTGGATTATGTATTTGCAGACTGCAAAAATTAAGTACTTGTAGTTAGATTGTATTGAATTTTAAAATACTTGTAATCGGACTACATTTACCTTATTATTAATTACATGAGTACATATTAATCATTAATCAGATGACTATAATTACACAGAAAACTGAGAGACCACACAACATTTGACCACTGGATTTACAGAAATCATTTCAGTTTTAATAAGCGTTTTCTCAACATTGCATCAACTACTAATAATGAACACGTTCATTTTTATTTGAATGATCACTCAGTGGGTTATTTATTATGTATTACTGTCTTTGGAAGTTTTTTGTCTTTCAAATTTTTTATATATTTTTATGATGAAATTAAATATTAGCATTTAATTAACCTCTCAAACCCACTGCAGTGCCTTCATGAACCCCAGTTTGGGAAACCTTGGCGTAATGTAATGTTTAATGCACAACGGATGGAATACATTTTCCATTTTTTTAATATCATTATGGCACAAGATTATCGTATTTAAATTAATGTGATAAATGAGTCCGGTCAAAAGTAATCTGATTATATTACCTATAATGTCTAATTTAATGGATTGCGTTACGAACTACAATTTTTATCATGTATTTTGGAATCAGTAACGGACTACAATTTGTAAGTAAACTAAAGCATCACAGTAATTGCTCTTAATGTGGCTTGTTTTTTATCCACAGCTGGTGTGGCTCAGGTGACCGTAGGCAATAAAAGCGAAACCATCATTATAGAACCTGATAAGAACACATCAAGCATCCAGAACGGCAGTCTTCAGAGGGAATCGGTCGAGTTGATGAATGTGACGGCAGCTCCCGCTATCATCAGCACCAAATCAGCAGACGCTCCTACCGTGCCACCTACGACTGCTGCCGCAGACCTGCACAAAACCACTCCAGACCAGCTCACATCCACCAAACACAAACCAGCAGAGCCCACCACTACGCCTGCAAACAAGCCCACCACCGTCTCCACCCCCGCAGCTGACAAAACAGAGAGCACCTCAGATTACATGGCCGACCGCACGTCTCCAGGAGCAGACATGGGCTTTGGAGACGACGATGATGATGATGAAGATGGCGAAGATGGTGATATTGATGAAAACTTCAGTGACATTAAGTCACCTCAAGACAGCGAGGGAGTGAAGAAAAACCATTACTCCCCTGAAGAAATAAATGTTCAAATCAAAGACACAACCATCTACACCTCTCAGGATGAAGACTCCCACTTCTTCTTTCATCTGGTCATCATCGCCTTTCTGGTGGCCATCGTGTACATCACCTACCACAACAAGAGGAAGGTAAGCTTCACGTGTCCACGGGCTTTAGTTTGATCTAATTGCGTTTACTCTAGATAACCACAGTAGTTTGATCACATTTTGACATTCGATAGGGAAGCATGTAAAGAAATGCCATTAAATGTGCTGCGTTAGGGCTGCACGATTAAATTAAATCAATGCATTTATTTTTTTTTTGCATGCACCAATCATCCTAACAAGCTCATAATGAGAAGCACTGTAGAAGGGCTCCTGCGGTTTAATGTCAAAATAAAAGTTAGATGGTGTAATGTTTAAAAATGTAAAGAAATTAAGACAGTTTTACAGTTGTAATGTAAAATAAAATTGTTTTTTTACATTTATTTTTATAGTTTACAATAGCAATATTTCTTGTTTTCCATTTTTTCTATTTGTATTAAGTCGTAGCAGTAGTATTAATAATGATACTAATACTACTACTAATAATTATTATTATAATTTCATATCCATAGTGATTATATATCACAAAATTTTAGCCAATTTGTGCAGCCCCACAAACAAGCAAAGCAATCCTGTTTTTAAATGCCATTTTAATTGGCAATTTCTATCCAAAAAATTGCAATAATAAAATTGTTCCCCTCTAATAATTGTATTAATGTAGTGTGTAAAACATATAATATATTCAAGGTATTACTGAATTCAAATTATTTGTGTGTCTGTATATATTCATAAAGAATTCATTTTTTTGTGCAGTTGTATTTAGGGGTTCAAGCACGCAGTGCTGAAACCCTATTGTAATTGTAAGGATTTTTATTATTATTATTATTATTATTATTCTTCCCTAAAACTGAACGGGCAGAACAAACCGTAAGGCCTAGAGAGCTGAAACTTTGTCAAAAGGTAGTAGTCTTGCTCGCTACTCAGGCGCAAAGAGCCGGCCCAATCGGCCAATAGGGGGCGCTACAGCGATCAAAAACACTTAAGTGCTAATAACTCCTAAACCGCTTGCCGTAGACTCCAAAATTTTACATATTTGGAATCCTTGGGTCAACGCCAATTAAAAATCACACACACACACACACACACACACGATGCGCAAAACTCTGCATTTGAACAGTCAATAGCAAATACTTAAACTAATAACAAAACAGTAGCTGATTCAGAAGCGGCAGGTTGTCATAGCAAAGTCAGAATGACCTCCTCTCCTAGCTTCACGAAACGCTCGTCCATAAAATGCATTGCTGTTCTGTTGTAAGTAATCTTAAAGATTCCTAAACGCATCTACTTCCGGAAGGCTTTTTTTTTTTTGCTTTCGCACTGAAACACAGCGTCTCCCTGACATGCTGCTTCAACACTAACTGCGGTTACTGAAACCACGCCTTCTTTCTTTGCGTGCACATTTGGGCGGCATTATGTAAATATTTCCACATAGTGATGTAGATATGTGGGGGCGTGTGAGAACGAGCCGTTTTAGGGGGGCGTGGCAGAGTCTTAACTTTGATAAAGAATATCTCTTTGGTTTAGACCCCAAACTGTGGCTTTTATTCATTCGCAGGAAATAAATGTACAGAGCGTAGTAACTGATTGCATCTAATCTGGATTATGTATTTGTAGACTGCAAAAATTAAGTACTTGTAGTTAGATTGTATTGAATTTTAAAATACTTGTAATCGGACTACATTTACCTTATTATTAATTACATGAGTACATATTAATCATTAATCAGATGACTATAATTACACAGAAAACTGAGAGACCACACAACATTTGACCACTGGATTTACAGAAATCATTTCAGTTTTAATAAGCGTTTTCTCAACATTGCATCAACTACTAATAATGAACACGTTCATTTTTATTTGAATGATCACTCAGTGGGTTATTTATTATGTATTACTGTCTTTGGAAGTTTTTTGTCTTTCAAATTTTTTATATATTTTTATGATGAAATTAAATATTAGCATTTAATTAACTTTATTATTATTATTATTATTATTTATATATAATTGCTCTCAGAGCTACAAGGCCTGAATCTCAGACAGAGTTTATAAGAGTTAATAAGAAAGTATATTTATTACGGTCAAAAGTAAATAAACGTTTTTGCCCTGTTGTATCGGAAATCGTATCAAATATAATTTTTTTATTGTTAAGGTATTGTATCAAAGTTAGAAATGTGAGTATCGTGACAATACTGGTTCACACATGTGTGACCCTAGAGCACAAAACCAGTCTTAAGTGTCAATTTTGTGAAATGCATCATCTGAAAGCTGAATAAATAAGCTTTCCATTGATGTATGGTTTGTTAGGATAGAACAATATTTGGCAGAGATACAACTATTTTAAAATCTGGAATCTGAGGGTGCAAAAAAATCTAAATATTGAGAAAATCATCTTTAAAGTTGTTCAAATGAAGTTCATAGCAATGCATATTACTAATCAAAAATTAAGTTTTGATATATTTATGGTAGGAAATTTACAAAATATCTTCATGGAACATGATCTTTACTTAATATCCTAATGATTTTTGGCATAAAAGAAAAATGTATAATTTTGACCCATACAATGTATTGTTGGCTATTGCTACAAATATCCCCCAGCGACTTAACACTGCTTTTGTGCTCCAGGGTCACATATATATGTGGTATGAGTGACCTGTGATCATGATGGACCTCTGCTCTGTATGTTTGCAGCTGATGCTGCTGGCTCAGAGTCGCCGCTGGCGGGACGGTTTCTGCTCACGCGGGGTGGAGTATCACCGGCTCGACCAGAACGTCAGCGAGGCCATGCCTTCGCTCAAGATGACCAACGATTACATCTTTTGAAGGAATGCAAACAGCTGATTGTCCACACATGGTGTCTTATTTAATCAGGGGAGGAGAGATTGTGCTTTAGTAATTTGTTTGTGTGCACTCTTCAGATGGTCTTGTTCACCTCTTCTAATTCTTCTTCTTGTTCTTCGGTGTCTATAAAATCAGACGGTTTTGCTCTAAATATAATCATTCTTGAAGAAAAGCAAATTAAGTTCTGTCCCTGTAAATATTTAATTATAAAGCTGCTGTCTGTCACATAGGCCTAGATCAAAATACCGGTGATTATTGTGACTCCATCACGTTTGTCTCTGTGTGCTGTGAAGGTGTGTTCAGCACAGCCATGCTTCTCCAGTGCAGCGTTAAGCGTGTGTGTGTGTGTGTGTGTGTTTGCTTGCTCTGCAGTCTTTATGTTTGGGTTATGACTTCAGTGAAGTTGTTTTATATGAGCCGGCTCCACTGTTGCCAAAGCTTGGGAGATTTATGGGAAATTAGCAACTGTTTTTGTTTCCTTTTTTTTTTTTAATTTTCTTTTTTTATTCACTGCATGTGAGCGTTGCCCCATCTCA